ATGCAGCAAGCAATCCCCTACAGAACCAGTCTCCCTGCCGGCCTATCACCATCGCCGTCCGATGACGATGTGGTCGTGAGAATGGTTTCAGAGAAGGCAGTGATCATCATAGGCAGACGTGGCTGCTGCATGTGTCACGTCGTCAAACGGTTGCTTCAGGGTCTGGGCGTCAACCCTCCGGTTTATGAACTTCACGACGACCACGAAGCCAACAAAGTGGCCGGCGAGCTATCGAAGAAGCTTTTTGCTGATTTTGACGGCGGAGAGGTGCAGTTTCCGGCGGTGTTTGTGGGTGGGAAGTTGCTCGGAGGACTGGAAAGAGTGATGGCCACTCATATATCAGGTGACTTGGTTCCTATTTTGAAGGATGCTGGCGCCTTGTGGCTCTGATCATTGATTTTATCTTTTTGTTTTGTTTTTTTTAAATTTTGAACAAAATCTTCTTTTTGGTTCTCTCTTCACTCTCTTTTTCCCCGTGCGCGCGCGCGTGTGTATAAGTTTGCCTCTGAAGAGATTAATTGTGCAGAACAATTTAATTATATTTTTGGTCATTTTTTAGATGAAGGAAAGTAATTAAATGTCGTTGAAAAGGAAGTAAAAAGAGGTTTGGCGTAAATTGTTGACTCTTGATTTCTGTCATATGAATGGGGACCGGAATAAATGAACCAGATCTTATTCAGATAAATGCACAGGAAAGAATTAAGAGATAGGATGAGAAAGTAGGGGAAAAGTAAGACCTCAAAAGTAGGGTTAATTTGATTTTACGAGAGTTTGGAAGCATTTTTTCTAATTATTTTTACACTTATGGAAACAATTTTTTTAACATATTTTTGTAAAAAGCATGAAATTAAGGTTACGCCACAAATCCAAACAGATTTGGGTTTACATTACTAAACACAATAAATATATAAGAAATATAATTTTTGAAGGATGATTGAGAAGGAGAAAAATGATAAAAAAGATGAGAGAGAATGGATTAAAAAAATAGACACTACTATAAAAATGTCTATTTTCGTCTGTTCTAAAGGCCTTTTGCGCCTGGTTAAAAGGGGATGTGGGTAAAGGAAAAATAAATAAGCTAAATACTTGTCTGTTAGAAGCAGATGAATATGTAAGGCACACATTCATCTATTCCCCAAAACAGACGAATATGTTGCCTACATATGAACAAACAAATATGTGGCACCATATAGTGTTATTTTTTAAAAAGATATTATTTATTTAGTAACTTTTTAATTGTCCGTTTTCCTTTGAACCCTAAAATTCAAATAAAAGAAGCATTCAACCAAAACAAGGTACAACAACACCAATTCAGTAAAGCCAAACCCATGAATTGTCATCCTAACTTATATGATCTTGAATAACATCAATCTCTTCATCAGTGTAGGAATTGTCATCATAAAAAATCTATAAGTTTATAAATAAGAAAATTGAATTCATCAATATAAGAGAATTAAAGAAAATCAACAATTCAGTAGGAAAAAGCAAATAATAATAATTAAACTAATTATTACCATCTCAAAATTTTTAATACATTCAGACTCAATAATTCCACACATAAAACAAATAATATAATATCCGTACTCTGTATTTTCTTGTTGCAAATGACATTGTAAATCAAAGTAAACAGGAAAGATGAATATACACACACACACGAAGTAATTATTGATGGCAATAAAGAATTTAAATTGAAAAAACTTACTATCAGTTTGTGCCAAACAATTTTGCCTTTTTTAACCCTTGTGCCTCCCATCCCGTATATTATGTCTTGAAAGACTAGTGACCAAACTTAATAAAGTATGAAAGCCAAATATATGATAACAAAAATTACGTGTTGAAAAGACATTTCATTTCATGACTTGGGGGACGACCCAATGAATCAAATTAGTAAATGACATTATTTATGGGACAAGCAATGCACAATGACCAATGTTGACTGAAATATAAAAAGAAACGAAAACAATAAAAAAATCTTTGAAAATTGAATATATATAAATATATAAATATAGATATAGTCTACTTACTTTTCAATAATTGGGGCAAAATAACAAGGTAAGCGGGTGTGTCCAATGGTATTATCTATGTATCTCATCCGCATATCAATGGTATTCTTCAAATGTTGCAAAGCAGCTGGACACCTGAATCCATACAAATATCCCTTTCCTGTAGAAGCGCACGAGTTGTGAAAGTAGATATCATCAATTTGATATGAGACAAAAACTAGTTCATATATATAAGTAAAAAATGAGCAACCAGAAAATATAAATCATAAAATAAAACCAGATTATTGCCAGTTGAATCCATGTAATGTCTAGCTAATATAGAGATAGAAAGTCCTTCAGATCATTCTAATCTAATCCAAAATAATATGTCATTTGCTCCCCTACAATTCCAATGGGCATTTTTATATTGACTTTGTTTACTAATTCATAAATATCATACAGTTGTACCAAGCAGGAAAATTTAATAGTATCTTCAACGTCCTAATAGAAAAATAGAATAAAGATAAGTAATATAAGTAGTATATAAAAGAAAAATTAGAAAGTGTGTTTGTTACCATTGGAGATATGATGTCAATGGGTCTTTTAGGCCATAAAATAAAATTTCTACTTGCTTGACCTAGCTTGCCAATCTCGCCACCAGGGAACAGCACATTTGCATCTACCTCCTCCTCACTAGCAGTTGTGACCATCACTTTGACCAAGTGCGCTTGAATTTTTTGATGATGAATTTTAGACCCTTATATGTATTTAAGAGCATTGACAACAACATGCATGTTTAGGTCATCTAAATAGAGAACACAAGATTCTTTATCATTTGGTGTGGGACTAAGGTCAAACGGAGCTTACAACACTTGTAGATCGAAGCTACCTTTTGTGCTTTCATAGGATGGAGAATTCTAAATGCATGGCGCAAATGAAAGAATGGAATTAAATGAAAAAAGTTGTTGGCAAAATTCAAAGTAAATTAAGTTGAGATTAATTTCAGACCTAAGGTGTATGTTCTTCTTATATGTATTTAAGCTCATTTTTGAAGAATTGATGAACCTCGTCACTAGTCATAATCTCTTAACGAACTTGTTCTCAAACTTTGTCCATTAGGTCAGCACTTGGGACGCTTCTTCCTGTAGAGTTTTGTGAACTAGAACCAAAGAATTGGATTAGACCAACTATCTTCAATAACCCTCTTATTCAACCAGGATAGTCTAACTTCCCAATTGTTGTTGCCAGGATGTCCATCCTTCCACTTGGAATAAAAAAACCTTAACTGCTCTGCTCCTTAAGTGCATCTTATAACATACAAGTAATAAATACAAACTAATTATAATTTGAGCAGATCATGAATACTATTTCAATTTAATTACTTTAATTTAACTATTTACAATTTTTCTAGCAATGTCAGCAATAGTCAAATTGATATATTTACCTTTCTTTATTCTTGCATGCTTCCACATTATATGTCGAGGTGGGGGGCTTGAACAACAATGCTAGGGTCTAATTTTGCAACTTCTTGCATTTTTTTTAAATCATCTTCCATAATCCCTTATTGTGCCTTTCTATAACCCCCACGAAACATATAATGTTGACATAATTTTTTTTTTAAATTCAACTTCCATGATCTCTTTATTTGAAGTACTTAGTTTCTATAAAAAGGAAACAAAAATGAAGTTAGTTAAATGAAATGAAACTAGTTTATATGAATGAAGTCATTGACTAGAAATTTACCTAAAATTCATGGTTTAGTCATGACGACATAAATTTTCTTCGAGTGTTTTCATTAAGAAACAAGTAAATGTCACTTGGGTTTTTATCCTTTTTAACCCCTTGAATGTAAGTGGGAATGAGAATTATTTTAAAATCTTTCTATTGCTCATGTACTTGGTCTAGCCAATGATTCCTCATCTAAGTAGTGGGAGGGACATCATAGGTTTGTTTCAAAGTTTATGTGTTATGAAATTAAATTTAACAATAATAATTATTTAAAAGTATAAAGGACAAAAAGTTAAATACCAATATATCTTGCCAAATCACTTCTTTCATTACAGGTGATACTTCTTTCCAATGAGAATATAAAATGTTCACTTTACTTTGTCCCAGAATGCATATATAGCTTATGAATTTATCTCTCTTTGGACAAACTGGATTCATATCATCATCAAAATCCACATGCTTCCTCTCAATATGCCCACGATGTGCTGCTAGCTTTGGCAATCTTATAGTGCCTCTACCCCTTTTGATAATAGGTTCATCATTCATTTGATCTTCATTAGAATCCTCCACCTTTCTATTATCATCCTCCATATCTTGTTAGTAAACTAGAGTGAAATAGGTAAATCAACTATAATAAAATGAATAAAAAATAAAAAAAAAGTAAACACAAATTTACATTATAGTGTATAACTTTTTCGTTAGGATCTTACTTTATGCATTTTCCAATATCCCTTCATAGGAATCATCTTTAACAGCGTATTCGTTATCATCTACTAATTCCATTTCACTCATTGTAGGTGGATTTATAGTGAAAGGTGGTGTCTTATCAATGTTCAAAGTTGGATGATCGTCCTTCTGCTTTTCACCTTGAAGTACAATAGATAATTTGGTGTTTGCTAGATTGGTGATATAAAATACTTGTTTCACCTGGTTTGCTAAAATAAATGGCTCATTTGTATAACCAACCCTATGAAGATTAACTAAGGTAAATCTAAATTGTTGATCTATTTGAATACCATTATTGTTACCTCACTTATACTTGAAGATAGGAACTTTGAAGTTGGTGTAACTTATCTCCCATATCTTTTCAATAATTCCATAATAGGCCATGGATGCCAATTTAGGGTTTTTATCTTTGGAGTTAGAGAAATGCATCGCTATAGCTACTTCCATTGCCATGCTATTCTGCATAGTACTTTTGTCATCTGGAGCCTTTGTGTCAATGGAATACCTATTTATATCATATCAACTGCAAGTGGTGACATCAAATCCAGGCCCCAAAGCTAACTATTTTATCATATTAGACACATTTGTCTCCCTCCAAACCTTTTCCTTGAACCACACTATAAATGTCTTGTTATACTCATTAGCTATCTACCTATCACTTTTTTTTTCTTCAAATATTTGTCCCTTAAACTCTTCTTATGGTCATCTAAGTACGATTGAACTTCTTTCATATTATTTAAAATGTATAAGTGCACTTGGAACACTTCTTCATGGCCAATGCTCTTCACTTTGAGCCCTCGAGTTCCCTTACCTATCTCATCTTCATGTCGAGCCTGTGCCTCAACTCTAAATAGGTATCCTTTGCAAAAGTCCATAGCCCCTTCAGCTATATATCTTTCAATAATTAATGCCTCAGGTCAATAAAGATTCTTAAAATAACCTTTTAAGACTTTT